TTTCTCATCTCAGTTATAAACGTAACTTGCTGTTCTAAAAAAGATGTGGCAGGCTGGACAAAATTTCTCCATCTGTAGACTGCTGTTTACTTCTCCAGTGGGGAAAAAGCCCTGTATGAAACATTTTCACTTCTGTAATCCAAGACACTTTTATTTCAGGCAAAATTGTGGACAAATTTGAATGTAGCGGTGAAGGGCAACTTTCTGAAGCAATTTTATTTTTACGCATGTTTACCTTTACAAGGTAAAATGTCCATGCTGTAGGGGACAAAGTAAACTATCCATGCCTATGCACCAATGGAAACTCCCAAATTTAAGCCCACCTCCTTTCCTGAAAGCAGAGGCCAAATGGCTACATTGTAATCTGGGACTCTCCCCAGGCCTAGCAAGGCAGAAGGAGCTGTCCCTCCCAAGTTTGCCTGGGGTTACAGAGGAGCACTGGACTTGCTAATGCAACTGGTTATAGGTCTGTAATAGCTTCTGTGACACTCATTCCCTTGGCTAGATGGGAGGAACACCAGATGGATCCACAGAGCACCCATCCAGTGGCTTCACCCATGATCCTTCCTTGATCCAGCTCCATGAGGTAGAGACTGGGGGTGGGTGTGCATACATACACATTTTATCCCTGAGGGCTACAGTCATTTTAAGTCCAAAAGTGGAGGCACGGCAAATGTTTTACTCAAGGAATCTATTCACTTTTCTAATGTTATGAAAACCAGTTTTCTACTAAAATTTACAAACAGAACAGCATCTGCTAATCTGAACAAACCCTTTTTTGGCACCATCCTAGGGTGCCTGACTTCAGAATTGTCAGTAACATACATAAATAGGAGAAATCCTTTCGTTGAATTGAGCAGCATCTATACATGCTATAGGTAGTCCAAACTTATCTTTTCCCAAGGTCTGACTTTTTTTGGTAATTTTAGCAACAACAAAAATGTAAACCTCAGCCTGGGACTTCTTTCCAAGTTTGCCCAGTCCTTAGATTTCCCTAAAGAGACATTTGTCTTTACCCTCTCCAAGGACCCTAGCTCAAACAACCCTCCCCACCTCTGGTATCCTGGATAGTGTTATTAGCTAAGTCTGTCACAATATGTCACTATCTCTTAACAGGATAAAGCAGCAGAAGAGCTTAAGAGCAGTGCTGGGTACTTACTGAGTACCTCTCTGAAGTTATTGCATTGCTTCTTTTTCTGGTGTTGGCACCCACAGAGCAGAAGTGTGTAGGTGGATTGGGCAGCATAGCACTACCTTTAGGCATGGCACAGAGGCAGTGTGGACATGATGTAAGTCTCTCAGGGCCAGAAGACTGGGAGGCAGATCCTAAGTTGGTTTAAATTATCATCATGCCATTAGCTTCAGTGGGACCTAGATAACTTACCACAGCAAGGAGACTGTTTATAGTTTTTCTTGTCTGAGTGAAGTTCATGAACTTTGAAGCATTGCTTGAATCAGGAAGATTGGGAACGTACTTCTGGTCTCTTCCTAAGACCCTTGGGCAGTCTGATGCACTGAGTTTCTGACCTGGGTGCAATTTATTTGATTCTACCTTTCCACCCCTAAATAAAAAGTGTATTACAGCTGAGGGGTGTGTGTGTGTGTGTGTGTGCGGGTTGGGGGGAGGGAGGGTCTCCATGGACAAGGATAACCTGAGTGGCTTCAGCTACTACACTACCTCAGCTCTGACTCATATTAATGTGCGACCCTAGCTTTCATCTCCCAGATGTGACATCCTATCAACTACACTGGCATAATGCAGCCCACTGGCACCCAGATTTCATGCTGTCAGCCATACACACATTCACATAGCCATTACTGTAGGTAGTGAGGCCACTGCAAACTCCTACCTCCTGTAAACCTGTCTTCATTGACGCTCTGTGACGCCATGCCATGTGCCCTCTTTGGCTATTTATATGCCTGTTGTGTTGTCTGAAACCTAGATTGTATGCTTTCTGGGTCAGGAGCTCTCTTGTGCTTATACAGTGCCTAGAACCATTTTGAGTCCCCTAGCAGTTAAAACAGTATAAAGTATAACTCTGCAACACCATATAAGGGGAAGATGTCTTCACATGCCTAAGTTTCCATGCATCACTAGGGCTGTGGCCACCCTACCTCTGGAACTGTCAGACCTCTTCATTTTTAATTCATAAGAGTACACCTGATTTAGAGTGGAGATGTGGTCAGCATAGACTTTATGATGGTTCATTTTTCACATACTTTTCTATATGCTGAAGTGGGGATGAACATGCTCTTTCATTATTATGTCCATTAACCTTTTTTTGTTTGGTGCATGGGTTTGAGCCACTAGGCCACCCAATTCTCCAAGCTCCAGGTGAAGGTTTGTAGTTGCTCCAGTCAGGAGGAAGAACAGCTTTGAAACCTCTGCCAGGACTTTCATCGAAAATCCTCAACTTGATAAAATTATCAGCCTTCACTGCTTTATATCATACAACAACACCTTCATGCCCAGTATGGTACTTTGTGTCACTGTGGTCAAGTAAAAAAATCAAAACTGTGTTCAAGAACCTTTTCTGTAATTTGGCTTCCTTATTCTGAAGTGAGCAGGTGAGCTGCATGTCATCTTCTGGTCCCAACTTAGGAAAGGGGGAGACCAAGAACTTATTAGCAACTCAGACCATGCACTTCCATGCAGGAATGGCTAAAGCAGCTGCAGTTTCTGTTGCTGCTGGGCTGGTTGCCATTCAGTAGCATAACTAGGAGTGGGTGAGAGGGGCACCAGCTCCAGGCGCCAGTTTAAGAGGAGTGCCAAAATCTCTCCCCCTCCCCCTCTGTGCCCCAGCAGCATTGATTTTGTAGCAGCAGCCAATGCATTGACGGAGAGCTGCTGCTCCTTCTTTAAGAGCAAGAGCCCAGGTGAACAGAGCATGTGCTGGCAGCAGTGGTGGCAGCAGCAGCAGGAGCAGGAGGGGACTGGATAAAACTCCCACTCCTGGATCCTGGCTCCCTGTCCCAGCTCTCTTGCAGGGTTTGCCCGGGGCGCAAATCGTGTTTATTACCTTGCTGTTGCCTTTTCTCAAACTATTGTGGGGGGTGGACCTGCAGCTGATTCTGGTGTGCCTGCTGCTCCCTCAGAAACTTCAGCGAAGTCTGTAGCTGCTGTTGCTGTCATTCCAGTTTCCAGTTTACGACTTCTTCCATTTTCCTCCTTTGAGCAGAGTGTTTCCAGAAATCCCACTGCTCATACCATTGGGAGGAAAAGGAGATTTATTTATTTATTTATTTTATTTTATTTTATTTTTTTTTGTGAATGGCCACTATGTAGTTGTGCCATATCCTTTTCCTGGGAGTAACTGAAATCCAAGCAGAAATGTAAGATATGGTCTAAGTTTTTTTCCCGCAGGATAGGCCACCCTTGCTGAAAACACTCTGTTTTATCCACTTGCTACAGCTTCTCTCTTATATCCAGAGTGAAGTTAACAAACTGATCTTGCCAATGGCAGCAACATCTCGCTGGAAGACCCCGAAAGCTGGCTCAGCAGAAGAACCCTTCTCTCTCACTACAATATATTTTCTGTATTCAGTTATACTTGAATTTTGCTACTTTAACTAATGCTCCGTAGTAGTAATTAGAGGTGTGCTGAGAAGGCAGCATTCCTATCTGGGCCCAGATTAGTTATAGGCTGAGGTTTGGGAGTTGGTTTGATGGTGAAGCGGAGCCAGGATTTGCATTTGGATTTGATGTGGTTGAAATCATAAACAATTCTTGTGCAATTTTGGCATGAAAATGGCAGAACTCCCATGAGAAAAATTGTTCTTGTGAGACTGTGTCCACATCCAAACCAGAACAGTTTTCTGTTTTTGGAAGCTGAAGTGGAAATGCTGGATTAAGATTCAGAGGTCTTAACCTCAATGTTGTCTCCTAAAATACAAAGTGATATATATTCGTTTCATCATTTAGCTACCTACTTCCAAACATTTGTACAAAAGCTGCAGACAAACCACTGCACACAGCAGCAGAAATGTTTATTAATGGTTATATAATGCTGAAAAGTGTGCTAAGTGGTTCATGGAGAATTTAGGAGGATACATTCTCTGTGCCAAAAGAGTTTAATAATCTACTTTATATATGTACCATAATGAATGAGATTGAAGTAGGGTTGGGGTTGTGGCAGGACAAAGGATATAGAATGAGGCACATGCAGACTTTGGGAGTTTAGCACTTTTTTGTTTGTTTTCCTATTGTTTTCTGGTATATAAAAATAGCAGTGTAAGTGCTGGTGAAGAGTGCTCAGAACTTGGGTGCATCACAGAAGGTATCCTTGGTTTGTATCCAGTATGATTATGGTAGAAAAGTAACCTGTGAGAGTTCTAATTAGCTGTCCCCGGGTTAGCCAGTGGGCATGAGTGGCTAACCTGTGCCCCAGTATATAATGGTTGGCAAAGTAGGCAGCTATCTATTCTAGAACGAAGTTAGAAGTATCCAAAGAGAGAGAGAGATAGGGAGCGAGGGAACTCCTAACCAAACAAAAGCCCCAAAACTGCGGATAAGAAATATTGTTTTCAAGCCATAATTAATCTCTGGTAAAACTGGAAGCATTGCAATCATTCAGACTTTGCCAAGGGACAACAGCAGATGACAGGCAGTGTTTTGTATTGGTTGGATCCGTTTCTGCTTGACTGTTTAGAAGTTCTTAGCTTAGCTTATATTTGCATACATGGGTAGTCCATGAAAAATCTTCTGTGACAATGTAAATCAACATGGGTGACCAATGGCAAAAAATCCTTAATGAAAACAGAAGCCTCTTTTTTTTCCTTTTTTTCTTTTTTTTTGTAGAATTGACTATTGTGAAAGAAAACCTGAAAAAGAAGCCAACAATGTGAAACAAAGTTTAGCACTTTCAAGCTTTCTAAAATCAACTATTTTTCTTCTGGCTAATGCATTCTAGTTGTGAATGTTCACTTAACCCAAACTTCAGTGTTTCTACTTATAAAAATGACCTTCCTATTGAAAAAGTTTTTTTTGATAGTTTCCATAGGTCTCAAGAAAAAGAAAAAAAGGAAAAGTGAATATGTTGATGCAGTTGCACAGTTACTGAAAAATCGTCAAGGAATTACAGAGGAGGAACCTGAGCACTGCTGCTCAGAAAGACCTTGCCAGATGGCTGGTAATCTATGATCAAGTTTATCTTGTGCTTGTGAATACTGGGTAAATCCAAAAAATTTGTAAGAATATGTTTGTGCTACATGATGGTGCTTTCAAACAGTGGGCCTTGATTTAAAGCCATTGAAAGCCAAGTTGCAAAGAGAATAGCTAATATGCTGCCCACAAGTTTTTATGCATGAAAGGAAGAAAAGTAAATTCAATCAAGATGCTAGGAAACTGAAATATTTTTGGAAAAAAAGATTTAAAAGTCTAGCTATGTGTTTGACGTTCACGTTTCTCATTTTGTTTCATACTGGCATTATAATCAATAAGCAGGATGAGTGAATTGAATCTCTTTGCATATTATCAGATGGGAAAGGAAGCTAAGGAGGGGGGCAAAAATACTCCTCAGGTCAAAACAGAGGCACCTAATCATTCTAGACACCTTAGAAGCTTTGTGGCCACCGACAATGGTTCAATGCAGGTGATTTTTTATGAGTTAGGAGCCTAAATTCCATCCAACTCTTATTTAGGCATGTATGAGAATTATTTGGATCTGACCCGCAGTGTTTATTTGAAAGTAGGAAGTTAATGGGAGAGTGTGGCAAAAAGTACTCCTGCCTAACTTGGAACATATGTAAAAGCTGCACTAGCTACCTGCAACCAGTCTTACTGATAGATGACTAAAAGAGCTATGTGTAGAGTTTTCCCACCACCAACACCACTTGAGGCACAGCACATAATCAATGGGATTTCTGCAACAGATCCACAGTGAAAATGTAAAGTTAGCTGTTCAGCTATAGTAAGCCTCAGGCCTGTTATGGGAGAAAATGTCTGGCGCTTTTCCAACATCAAGGGCCTCTGCCACATGTCTTCTAATTAATTTCTGCCACAAACAAACATGTCAACAACACAATTAGATTGTCTTATCCAATCTGTCTGTCCAATGCAGCTGCATTTTTGATACACCTATCCATCAGTATAGAAGCTGCAACCTAAGAGTTTTCAGAAACAGAATGATGAATGATGAAGACCAAACCAGCAATAGGGGTGCTGACATTTCAATGGATCCTGCACATGGCCTGTTCCTCAGCCTGTATGCACAGCCCACTCTCATGATGCTTACTAAAGGGACCAGCAACTTTGGGAAATACAGGAGGAACTGTTGCTAAAGAGCTGGAGGAAAAAAACATAGTCATCCCACAAACTAAAGGTGTGTCCCGAGTATTCTCTAGGAGAGTGCACACATTTACAACACGGGGAAACCCTGCAAGCAATTGCCCCTCTCCCAAGGAACCCTTGCCCTCCCACATTGCCAGTAATTCCCCACAAGGCACCTAGTCTAGGTCTACAGGGTATCAAGCAAGCTATTTCTAGATGGGCCTCTTCAAGCATATACAGGTTTGACTCTTACAATTAATAGTACTACAACAGAATTTTAAAGGATTTTTAAAAATCTCATCGTACTGTCATACCTCTACCCTCAAAAAACTCCCAGAACAAACAGGTAGCTAGTGAAGCCAGGAACAGTGAAGTTTTCGTACACATTTTATTTACAAGTTGCATTGCTCCTGGTTTAAAAAGGGGTAATGCCTTAACTGCCAACAAATGACATACCATATAAAATAAGGTACACAGTGTCATACCCCATTAATAACTTAGCCACCTGTCAGTTTCACAGAAAAAAGTAAATATTACTAGCGTATGTACATTAGCAGCAAGGTCATGCTCTGTACATACGTGTCTGTAACTAGAAACAGAGTGAGTGAGTCGAAGAGATAGCGAGTTGATATAGTTGATGTATTTGCTATTGATCTGCTTTTGAAGGTTAGTTTAAGTTAGAATGACTGATTTCCTGGATTTATACATAACTTCATACTGGTGAATATAAAAGCAATGCAAGAATGGCCATTTTCCATCTGGTCCAGTATCCTGTCTCTGGCAGTGACCAGTACCAGGTTCTGCTTCACAGGAAGCAGCATGAAAATTCTTTGTGGGCAGTTATGAAAAATTGCCTATAGAGGAAGTTTCTTTCTAACCCATATTTATTATCAGCTAGTGTTAGCTTTAGCCTTGAAACACACAGCCCATATAATGTAACCATGGCAGTTCTCACTATCCATATAAATGTCTAATCCTTTCTGGAATCCCGATAAGCTCTTTGACTCAACGATAGCAAAATGTGTTATCATCTGTGTGCAGAAAGCATCAGCTTTCTATAAACACAGACATTTAAGAAATGAATTTGACATTTTTGTTACATTTTAAAAGGATGATACATAATAAACAGGGATGCCATTTAGTAGTTAAAAGTAATCATCATCATCATACCAAGATGCAAGGAAGAACTTTAATACTTTGGAATTGCATCTTGAGGACTGAATTAAATTCTAAAAACAAAATGGTTATAATAACCAGATTGTACTCCTGCTGTCTTGTACCTTTGGAATACTTAAGTGCTTTCTCTGCCATTTTTATAAAGATGGGCTATAAAGTTAAGACATCCTCAAGGCCAACATGAAAAAAATGCAACATCAACATCAGCTCATGGGAGACTATCACACAGGACTGACTCAAATGAAGGAAGAATCTGCTTCAAGGATCTCAGGACTTTGAAACCTTATGGCGTCAACAGGAGATGAAAAAGTGGTAGTGGCAGAAACAGCATGTCGCTAACTGAATCAAATATCTGGAGCTACCCACAGCACGTTGAAACACATGCCCAAGTTGTAGCAGAGTCGTTGGGTCTGGATCAGCCTTGTCAGCCATCTTTGGACCCACAGATAGGACAATCATGGAAGACAATTATCCTCAACTGAGGGATTACTGTAGAAGAAGAGTTACTGAGAAACTGTTGTGTGGTATCACGCTGAAGTCAACATTTTAAGAAGTTATCTGTAACTTTGGGTGTCCAGTTTTGGGCAACCTTGAATTATCTTGAGCCTAATTTTTAGAGGCAATGCAATTAAGTCACAATTTTTCAAGCTGAGCATTCAAAAGCAAAGGCCTATTTGTGATGGCCAAGTGCACTAGGTACTCAGTGAAAGACTTGATTTCTAATCAAGTATGTGTGTTGGAAAGTGGGCTATAAAGTTAAAAGCAAAGGATACTTCAGCTTGCTGAAACCCTTTAGGGTTTTTTTTTAAATAAAAGGAGATTCAACATTTACTTACAATTTACAGTTACAGCAGGGATGTCAGTAACTTGGATGTTTGTATATGCCACTGGAGAGCCATGCCCTCTAGCTTGTTGTTTACACACACACACACACACACACACTGAGTACATCTACACAAGATGCTGACTGTGCAGTAGCCAAAAATACTGCACAGTAGCGTGTTATAGCCCTGAGTGCTAATATGCTACTGTGTAGCATTATTAGTCCACTGTGCAGTAGCATCACCTAACAGACGTTTGGTGGTACTACTGCACAGTAACTCCAAATGCTGCACATTTATTTAATACTTGCTAGTTCAAGTACTATACAAATGCGCAGTAAGGACTGTACAGTAGCTTTCTCATGTAGACGTGTCTACTGTAAAGCACATTTTGCTCTCATTTGTTCTGCTGTAAAATTTGATATATTTCGCTAAAATAAAAGGTGTTTCTCCAGATTTGGTCAGGTGGAAAAGAGCAGATTTTGGTCTATTGTATTTGTACCCCAGGCCATGATAGATCTAAGCACAAGCCTAAATCTGAAAAAAAAGTTTTAATGAAACTTTTGCGAATCCTTCTGAAAAAAAGGTACTAATTTTCAAAGCTACCTTTATCTTTTCTTTACACTCCCCAAATTTCTCTTGTCTCTGCTTCTGTGCTAAGTTAAGATATAAAAATACCCAGTAAAGGGTTGCGACTGAAGATTGAATTTTGTGTTTACAACATTACTTATATATCTATATTAAAAGGAAGGCATGGGATTGACTATATAAAAATGTTAACTCTCTTCCAGTCTATTTAGTCAAAGAAAATTCTATATGTAACTTTGTACCTAGATGGGGGACAATATGGTGGCAATGCAAATAAGGTATTTTGCAACAGCTTGAGCCATGTGAGTGTAAGCCTCATTTTGGAGTCTAACTAACAGCTGCTTCAGACATTTATACACATGCTCCAGGAGTGGGGGAGGAGGCACTTTAATTAAAATGGCTTAGAGCTGCTCTACCTAAAGCACCTGGAGTGTCTCATGTATCAGTGTCCCTGTGCTGAAAACTGGCAGCAGGGTCATTTTAAAACTCATTGAACAAGCTTTAGTTAAAGCAGCCCCGGCACCATTTTTCGGCACAGGGACAATGATACACATGATGCTGTAGTCTGTTGGAGCATGGTAAGTAGCAGACTCAATTAATTTAGTCTTCTCCAATGTACTGTAATTACAGTGAGTCGGAGCAGCCTTGCTGCACATGTATAGGCACTCATTCACTTAACTTTCTAATGGGTGCCTGGTCATTTGGACTGGGGAGTGAAAGGCAGATGGATGTGATGCTAGCCATGCCACTGCTTTGTGTGCCATTGGCTATAGAAACTATTGTGCCTTATAAGAGCACAAGCCTGATGGCCTGCTGTGCTCAGATGGACCTTTGACCTTTTGAGTTTGGTAAGGAAAAGGCCTTTGACAGGGTAGAATAGAGCTATGTGTTTTCCTTCTTGTGCCTCAATTTTTCTTTGCAATCTTGCTGTTAAACTTTTGCGCCTGCATGAAACTCCATTATCAATTGCAGGATTAGATCCTTAGATTTGCTTTTAATTACGGAAATTTGTGTAGAAGTTGTGTTACCTCCTCTTTCTCCAAGATATGAGTAAATGTCCTTCCCTCCATTTTCTAGGTTATCATTTACAGTTCTAATGGAAGCCATCCTTTAAGAGAATAAGGATGCAAATCAGGAATACTTTTAAGTGGCAAGGAACATAAAATGGCGTTATGTGTTGATGATATCATATGTTTTTAATCTACCTGATAGTTTTTATTTTGTACAAATATTAGCTAGAATCAGATATCCTTTTTTCTGCTATTGCTTGAAGGATTATCTTGAAGTACATAATACATTAGAAAATTATCTAAAGTG